AATCTCTCTTTTGAGTTTCTATGTGAGTATCTATGTTCTTGGCGGAATTAGGAATATTTTTAAAAGAATGAAATTCAATATTTTCGAATAGTTTAACAATCAGGACAGCATTTATGTGTTTCGGCTTTCGTCCAACGCTTAAAAAGTATTTTTGGCAGCATATTTAAGAGGTGTAAAATATTATAAATGGAATTATTAATTTAATGTAAAACTAAGAAATATATTAATATACGTGCGTGGCAACAAGCGTGGTAACTGTGGCAAATATCCCCTCTATGTGGCAATGGAGACCTATATTCAGCAATGGACTTTTGACAGACTCTAAGGGTAGCATCATACGTTACTTATAAAGCTAGTATAAGGTGATGATATTATATTTATCAGATTTGTTTCATCTCTTCTTTTATCAGTATATCACACAGGGGTTCTCGACTAATTTCGTTTTCAAAAGGCTCCAAAAGGTTTTCCAGAAGGTTCGGAATCGGAGTTATTGTTATGATAATAACGTAAAACCGCTATAAATTTAATGCTATCGCTTGTCCGGTGCCCGGCGCTATTTGCCATCAGATATGAACTCCATTCAACGATAAATTTCCCTTTTGCCGCTTAAATAGTAATACCGATTATTGTATTTGAAGATGAGGGTTAATAATTCAAAAACAATTTATCGTTTAAAGAGTAATGAGTAATAATGGAATATAAAATATTTATTTATTTATTACATGGACAACAAGACTGATAACAATGAAATTACATTTGAAAGAAGCACATAATATAACAGTTCTGTAGCAGATTGTTATCCTAAATATGTTGATACATATTTTTTATATTTACTATAGAAGAGATCAACTCTTCGCTAAACAATATTTATGACATACTTAACTACGTATCTATATATAGATATGAGAATGAGTGTGTACTATGTACAACTTATTTTGAACATCCTGGATCTTGTCAATAATATTGAAGCCGGAACATTGATGTATTAATAATCGAATAATTAATGAACATAGTTATTTTACTGGCAATACTAGCTCGTCAGAAGCAGTTTTGCCGTTTCCGATAGGTGGCGCGATGAATTTCATTCGCCATAGATTAAGTATAAACTGACGTTAGAAGTATTCGCTATGGACAGTGTAAATATATAATTTATTTATAACCAGCCCCCTATCGGAACCAGATTTTCGACGTTCCTTTTTGGAATTATTCCGAATTGTGAATATGAGTCACTTATTAAAAATAGTGATGTACATTCTGTAAATATTAGGTGCAAGTACAAGTTAGTTATACTTATACCATTTACTCCACTCGAAATATTTTAATGGCGCAACTCAGATGAAGTTTTTTACTTCATCTGAGTCATGAGAGAGTCTGAGAGATCATGGATTTGTCCGCTGCAATATTCTAGTGTGTTGACAAACTTCACATGTTGCGAAATAATTTATTCCTCACTATGAAGGTATCCTCTTTCCTGACGACTTTTTTCTACGCCGCCACACAAGTGGTAAATCAGAAATTAAGAACAATTTCAGCGAATCCAAGAATCTTGCGCATCGTTTTATTTTCTTTCTCATTTACGGCGAGGCCTTGAGTTATACCATGGCTCCAAAATCTTATTATAGATGTAATCTATATATACAATAATTGTATCTACTATGTCCGTTATAGACTTTGAAACCATCCAATCGTTGGGCCCCAAACCGGTTTCATTAGAAAGGCAAATAATACGAAGATGGTTTTAGACTACTGAAATAATGCATTGTGCGCTATATTAAAAAGTTAATAAATAAAAAAATTTCCAACAAATAAACAAAATGTATTTCTTTTATTAGCGTAGTAGTACATGCCGGGTATCCCCTATGGTTCATAAAAGATTGATCTCTGTGACAGCTGTCAGTAAAAATCACGCCTATGAAGTCCTGAATTTCTTAGTAGTACAGACAGTACCAGTCACTCCTTACTTTTACACTCCATAACCCAGCCTTTTAGTGAGGACAAAAATTTGATTTAACTGTATTTTAAATATTTAACACTATATATATATATATATATATATATATATATATATATATATATATATATATATATATATATAATAGATTGATATAAAAAATCAACAGTAAACAAATTATGGCACTTTTCACCAATAGTCAACCATCATCATTTCTCCACAAGTGAGCCATGTCTTACCCTGTAGTCTGCCTCTCACTTATTCTTGCAAATAAGGCAATTGTCACATCCAACATTCTTTAAGTCATTAATTTCTGTATCGCGAGTCAATTCCTCTCGTTAAATATTTGTTAAATGTTTGGTCTGGGTCAGTCAAAATATCACTCGCATTTATTTCTTCTAAATGTTTAATTAGTTCAGCAAACCACTTCCGAATACCTTCTTCGGTTACAGCGGCTCGACCCTTAGATATATTTTCGGGAGTTCTCTCACTCAACTCAGGATTTCGTCTTAGAAATTATTGGTACCATTTTTTCCTGCCTAGTTATTCACAAATGGGTTCGGCCTATTTTCTGCGGAAATAACATTATGAACAGTGTTAAGGAGATCATCACATTTTAATTTTGCTACACATTTTGCTAACGCCATGCACCAATTTTTCAAGGCAGTTTCTTCTTCTTTGGTCACCACTGAGTCTGGTCCCATTTCACGTGGCTTTTCTGGGACCCTTGAATGTAGTCGATCTTGTAGAGTCGCTCACGGAACGACTGGCTTCTCTAATCGTCATCCCATTTATAATCACTGCCATAGTTTGTATTAATTACTCTTCTTTGTATTGATGGATTGATCTTTTTGAAATTATGGACTTCTAAAACAAATGCTACTCATGCTAAAGTAACCGTGCAACAATTTAATCCTAAATTTTTTTTCGGCTTTAAGGTACTATTTTGTGCAACAGGACTAACAGCTGATCACTGGATTTTTTGGGCCCCTGACATGCAATTAAATTTGTACGCGGCTGACTACTGGTAAAATACACTTTTCGTCTTATAAGAGTTAAACCCTAAGTAATGATCAAAATTTCCCAATTTTCGCTATTCGCTCTATTAATCTCAATTACATATAAGAAAATCACGAAAATACCGGTAGTCAGCCACTTATTGCTGAGTACTGGATCTACCCTAAAAATTCGAAACCCAGTAGTCGAAACAAATAAAATGCATGCAATAGTTAATTTTACCACAAAATAATCATTTTAGTGTATATTAGTTATAGTATACGACTTTGTGTTTTTGTCTCTGACCTTTTCCTAGTTTTGTAGGGCGGCAAAGCTTAAGGTGACCTGATATTACCCTCACGTAACTTATAATATATACACAATACTAAATAAAAGGTAGATATCTACTTATATAACGTACTAAAGCCCAAGTTGGTTTGAAAATTATAAACCCCATGTTTATTTGGGATTTATAACAAAAAAGAACGTGCAATTTGTGTTATTTAGCATATCGTTAAAGGTACCATATCATATGTCAGAGCTTTGGTCCTTTGTCAGGATTGTGGTCGGATTTTGGAAACGTCAGATTTTTCGATTTTTCAGTAAAATGCTGTAACGGGTTTTGCGTGGGAGGGATTTATAACAAAAAAAGATATATTATATATATATATATATATATATATATATATATATATATATATATATATATATATAACAGGGTGTTAGTGTAAACACCGTTGTCCTTGAAACCAGTGGTTTAGTTTCACTTATAGAACGTGAATTCAATGAATTTAAAAAAAAAAACGCTATTTTCTTTCATAAAATTTAAAAAGTTTCTGTCCGACACCGTCCGTAAATTCATGGATACCCTATGCGCCCGAGTGACGTAATCACTGTAAAGATCACCGCCCGCACTAGCTACCTACACAACATTCAACGTAAAAACTTAGTAGGTACACATAACCCGTGATGTAACTTTTCCTTCGTACTTTCATCCTGACTTAGGACGGGCAAAAATTGAGGAATTAAGTAAAAATTTAGATTTTACTAAAAAAAATGTTGTTATTTTTCATTGAATTTACGTTCTATAAGTGAAACCAAACCACTGGTTTCAAGGACAACGGTGTTTACACTAACACCCTGTATATATATATATATATATATATATATATATATATATATATATATATATATATATATATATATAATGTGTGTGTGTGTATGTGTAATCTACAACGTGAATTATTTTTGTTTTCCAGTATTATCACGATTGTTAATTACGTTTGAGACAAAATATCTGGAGTTTTCTATAAATTTCAATTTTCCATCTGGACCCCTAGTTGAAGGCGGCTAATGGAATACTGGGTCTGTGATTCTGTAGAGGTTAGGTTAGCCACCTGTTACTTCTTCCACAATTTTCTACCTTGTGATAACAAGCGTGGCGCTATGTAACTTACTAATATTAAACCGTGTGTATTCTCTAGTATGTATACAGTAATCTATGGTGTGAATGTCTACTACTCTACGCATTAAACACACATATCATAATATTATGTGGGAGAACATTTTCTGTGAAGAATTAGAAGGTTGTTTTATTTAATCAATGCAAGCTTATCAAACTACAATTATTTTATTGTAGTACATTGTATTGTAGTAGTTGCACGCGATAATAAAATTTATTATAATATAACTAAGGCTTAAGTACTCACAAATGAATGTCATATTATATTCTTTTTTTATATTGTATATAAAAAGTTTTAATCGTAAATATTATAATTTTAATTATTATTTTAGTTATGTTCATTATTATAATTTTTGTAATATAGATTAATAAATGAATGGAAACATGAGAATTTTATCGAAGTCAGTTGCTTTCATCGTACTTTATTTTCATCTTGTTGTACGCTGAATTTTTATTATGTTATCAAAATAAAATATAATTTTTAAAGTAAAATGAAATCGGTTTTATCTTCACATCAAAAACTAGTTTGATGTAAAATTGTAAAATAAAGAGTGACAGCGCCATCTATTAGTATAAAGGCAATAACAATGTATGGTACTACTTTATCATTGGAAACACATCCCGCGCATGCGTGCTCCAGCTGGAGCCACGGTCACATCGTTATATTATCACGCACACATGTATCAGTAAAGGACGATGTTAAAACGTGTGCCGCTTGTCATAATTTGTATATTATCGTGATTTCAGAGTTTATTTCGTGTAAATCTGTTATTTGTGTACATGTAAGTATAATTTAATTATTTACTTCCTATTAAGTTGAACCTTGCCTGTGGTAAATGCTTTCAGTGTTGATAAATGAAATATCTAATATATTACCCCTAAACCTGTAAGATTTTATGAATAATGGTTAGTGTTGATTAATATAATTTTGCAGTTTTACTTAAATTTTTCAATATTTAACATTAACAAAATTATAATTTAGGACATTAACATACTAAAAGGACATCTATTTCGATTTATTGATCATGATCCGATATGGTCTAGTGGCTAGGATACCTGGCTCTCACCCAGGAGGCTCGGGTTCGATTCCCGGTATCGGAATGTGTTTTTTTTTAAATATTTTTATAAAAATCTTTTTTGTTGCAGATCCAAAATGAATGTGATAGCTGCATTGGCCATTTGCATGGTCTTTGTTGGATGTTGCTCTAATGTTGTCTTTTTGGAGCTAGTTGTAAAAGAAGATCCTGGAGCGGGCAACTTAGCTACATTTCTACAGTTTGTTTTTATAGCTGTTATTGGGTACTGTACAGTGGGAAAGTTTGGAACAGCTAAACGCAACATTCCGTTCAAACAATACCTAATGTTGGTTGCATTTTTCTGGACGAGCAGCGTTGCTAATAATTACGCATTTGATTTCAATATCTCAATGCCTCTACATATGATATTCCGCGCGGGATCTCTTATGGCGAACATGGCCATGGGAGTTTGGATACTGAAGAAAAAATATCCACCTTTAAAATACTTGGCCGTGTTCATGATATCGGCTGGTATCGCCATATGCACTGTACAATCCAGTGGAGATGTTAAAGCACCCCGAGAGACTCACGAAGACGCAGTGGAAGAAGAGAAGCTGAAGTTCATAGATTGGCTCTGGTGGTGTTTGGGTATAGCCATACTAACGTTCGCGCTGTTCGTGTCGGCTAGGATGGGCATTTTCCAGGAGTCTCTATACGGGAAGTACGGGAAGCATCCTTGGGAGGCACTTTACTATACTCACTTGATGCCGTTAGTGTTTTGGCTACCGACAGTGACGAACTTAATAGGACATGTAAAACTTGCCACAGAGACGCCGATGGTAGAAGTTTTGGGTGTTACGTTGCCACGGCAAGTGTTGTGGCTGACGCTGTACATCGTCACGCAAGGACTTTGTATTAGTGCTGTGTATGTTTTGACCACCGAGTGTGCATCACTTACTGTCACTTTGACAGTTACGTTGAGAAAATTCGTGTCACTTTTATTCTCTATATTGTACTTTAGGAATCCATTCACTTTGGGACACTGGATTGGTACTTTATTGGTGTTTATAGGGACTTTAATTTTCACTGAGGTATTGCAGAAGTGTGTCGCTCTGTTCTTACCGACACCTGTAGAAAAGAAGAAGAAGATATAGATATATACATTTTGTGTGATACATTATACATTAAAGCTGAATCTATAATCACGCCGATTTCATGAACAAATAAGTATAAACTATAAATGTTTTTAATTTATGAGAATTCCTTCTACTGTGAAGGCTTTTAATTAAATAAGATGGACGTTATCTGCACTATGATTTACTATTTTAAACTTTAAACATACCTACTAATATTGACACTTAATAGAATAATTAATAGTAAATTATTTTGAATTGTAAATTATTATTATAATTACTTGTTATAAATAAACTAATTCCTAACAGAAAATCATAGTTGTAAAATATTTAAATGCTTTTAGTGAAGAAATGATTAATCTCTGTTTAATTATTTTTTTCCTGAAAATCAAATATATAATAAGATTTATTTTTAATCCATAATCCTTAAAATAACAATATCAAGATCACAACATGACCTTTATTATGTTATATTAGAGTTATTACATAACCCAGTCACAGAATAAATAATAGTATTACGACTCAATGAACTGGCATACCTAATGGAGTAGTGTGATACACATAATAATTTTTACTGTTTTAATGTGTATGTAATTTTTTTAAATTAAATTTTTGTATAATAGAACGTGGTTAGCATTAATCATAGATTCCTTGAAATAAAAAAATGTTAAATTTCATAATGATTTTTTTCGATAATTATCTTGTTTTTCCGTGTATAAACTATAAAACCACACCACGATACTTCAAACGAAAATCACGGTTCAAATTGATGTTACCGTAGATATATTATAAATATATCAATATCGGAGTTTTATACATAAGCTTATTTATTGATATATCGAAAATCCAATAATTTAAAAAATATCAACAGTTTTAATTTGAACTGATCAGTTAGAATGATCAGTTGCACTAACCGTGTATGGTAACCATAAGAATATCAGGAGATAAGAATATCGGCAGCGTGTTCCTGATACCAAGTTCAAAATATAAAAAAGCGGCATGGCAAATACAATTTTATGTTAATAGCTGTGTATAATAGGAACTTTAAACAGTGAAATCTACTTGGACAGAAAGAAAGAGAATTTTTTTAAATCACTAAATCTGTATTTATAAAATGTATTCACACAATTAAGTCAAAGGTATATACCATTATTTTTCATGTATATGTATTGGCTCATTTTGTTATCAAATTGTGTGATAAAGGTAGCATTTTCCTATTAAATTATAGAAAATTAATTAAGTTCTTGGAAATTTACTTCACCAGATTTTTTTTTGAATAATTATATCGTTATTTTTTGTTTGTATATATAACAATTTGCACTTAATGGTAGCTTAAAAATACTATGTGACGTCGCTGGCGGTTGTGTATTCTTATCAATCTATTCCCTTCCGTGAGAACTATGGAGTCCATTGTAAACTGCCAGCTCATGATGTACCTTGAGGATGACCAGCTGATTAGTGATCGCCAATATTGTTTTCGTCGTGGTCGATCAGCTGTTGATTTTCTGGTCTAACTGACTCATAGATGGGCGGAGGCATTTCTGATTAATCCCAGCCGCCAAATTTCATGAACGCACTACGCGGCTAACCTCCCGATACCATCCACACCATCTGGATGCTTGGCGGTCCACCACTACGTTTCACTAGGAGTTTTCTTCCGTGTATGACCTCTCTGTGGAATAGTTTGCCACCGGCATTTTCCCGGACTGATACGACCTAGGGCCCTTCAATAAAAGAGCTTACCCCTTTCTAAAGTTCCGGCAACGCACCTGCAATTCCCCTGGTGTTGCAGATGTTCATGGGCGGCGGTAGTCACTTAACATCAGGTGACCGTAGCTCTTCCCTCTTAAGGCCGTTGATCCTGTGCCTGATCTCTCCGTCTCTGCCGGTTTACTGTCCCAGAGAGTGCACCTGTGCTTGCGCATACTCTTAGGCACTGTAATCCTGCCCTGCGCCGACGGGTGGTCTCCGTTGAGGCAGGCCGCTGTGACAGAAATTCGGTGTAGAGGACATTAGAATTTTTTTAAATCAGTAATCAATATATGGATTCATGCAAAAGAGCATTAGTATAATGATAAGAACAATTTGTAGGTCATTAAAAATCAATATAGGCTGTATTTATAATATACACTTGAAAGAATATGTAAAATAAACATGGTCGTCAATGTATGGATGCGTGGTCACTGGTAATTAATACTTTTTAAAGTAATAATAATTGTTGTCCTAATTGTGTAATTAATGAACTATAAAAAGTTTTGCAACGCACATTGATTGTGATTCAACGTGCGATAGTTTCGTGATAAGAATTAATCTATTGTTATTTTTAAATTAAGAACGATTTTGTAATTTTAGGATAGAATAGAATAAAAAACTTAATGTGGGTGACAATTTAATGTGTAATAGGTACCTAACTTGAAATAAAATACAGATGCGTAATAAAATTTTATTCTCATTTCAAACTAGCTGGTACCTGAGGCGTTGCTGGCGAAGAATAATTAATTGTGAAAATATCGTATTAAATTTGGAAGAGTTATATCGTTACGATACACGTACCACCTATTGTAAGTTAATTGTACTATGCCTATAACCTTCGCGCAATCGTAAACAATATATTGACATAGTTTTAGCGCAATCTGATGAATGTTATGGCAGCGCATAAAACACGAACAAACAAACATAAATTTTTATATTTAAACTAGCTTCCCAGGCAGACGTTGTTCTGCCGTTTTCGACGACACTGTCATGTCCTATTAAAAAGCCTTACATTCGCAAAAAAATTGTGGGTCACTCTAGGACAAAAAAACTATCCTATCTCTCAAGTTGGACCAAACTGCACACGGTGTGCAAATATTTGATTAAAATCGGTTTAGTAGTTTAGTATTCCATTGCGGATAAACAACGTGACACGTAATTTATATATACTATATATATATATATATACTATAGATGATGAATTAATATGTTTCTAAACTTTTGATTTGATTTTTGATTTCTAAAATATATTGATATCTAAAACCAAATACCTATCTTAGATTGGTATGGTAAGTTATATGTTTTTCAAACGAGTACAGTCCTGAGTCCACCTGATTGTAAGTGGATGCTGTGGCCCATATGCATCTATATCTATCCTCGATTAAGAATCAAAATGCAGATGCGTTGTCACCTCTGAGGACTAAGATGGAGTGCCCCGTTTATAGTAAAAATGTTCTCCGGTTCTCTAAATTAATAGTACGAAACATTGCAGAATTCAGCTGCTATTTTTAGGCTGGTATTCTGCGAGAGCATAGTGTTTCCCCGGTCGAGCCGACTCATTCGTGGTGAAACTGAACCTATAATATAGCATGACTCTATCGTAGTCGACTTCTTAGCCAAATTTCAATAGTATCCGTTTGATTCAATGTGTGTTTGTTAATGACAACATGGTAATGAAATACCACATTATTGACAACCTGCGTAGTAGGTAAGTCTTTAACTGCGGTGTTGCGGAGCAGCGGGATTGAAGCCCCCCCCCCCCCCCCCCCGGTAGCTATGTTTGTATGGCCCTTTAATTTTTATTCCAAGTCTGAAAAATTGTAGAGAATATATATTGCATGTAAACGCCTTTACAATGTAGGAGAAAATCCGCTATATCCTTGCAGAAATATGTTGAAATATTTTAATAATTTTCAGAGTAATATCATCATTTAGTTACATAGGTGTATTAACATATCGATTAATTTTATCCGTATCAACAATGACTTGAGATTTTTACGGAAGTTGGCGAGCCTATTTCTTAATATAACAATAGATTACATTTAATATGTCGTGTGAATGGACCTTGAAACGAGGATAAAAGAAAATGTAAATTATACTTTTTACACATAAACACTAAATTATATATTCAAAGAAAGCTGAGCGCCGCGGCGGACTTCGGAGTTAATTAAGTTGATATTCTACAATCGTAAACGCTAGTTGAAAACTATTAAAATAAATTAAAAACAAATAGAAAATTACTTGACAATAAATGATTTATTACTTTGCAACCTTCCGTTAACTAATTACAATGATGTGTCTTAACTGGATTGAAGAGCACCTCCCGCCCTCCCTCAATTGCGTGCACTAACTCCGTCACCACTACTCCCAGCACCACTAATCCCGGCACCACTACTTCCACACAACAATACAAGTATTAGATCCAACTATTGTCGTCGATGGAGTCTTATCTGGAATATTGGTGTTGGAAGTAGTAGTGCCGTACATTGTAATTAGTTAGCGGAAGGTTGCAAAGTAATAAATTATTTATTATAATGGATTTCCGCAAAGTAACGCCTAATTCTATCAATGAAATTACTTGACGTTGATATAATATGTCATTCCCATTCATTTTAACCGACTTCAAAAAGGGAGGAGGTACTCAATTCGACTGTAAGTTTTTTTACGTGTGTTACCTCTGAACTTTTTGTAGATGAACCTATTTTAATGATTCTTTAATGATTTTTTTATTTGAAAGTTGATGCTTCCATGTGGTCCCATATAAATATGGTGAAGATCTGACTAGTAGTTTTTAAGTTATCCTCTATAATGTGTATTTAATTAACTTCGACTACTTTGATGATGTTTGTTCTCGTTTTTTTTTATATTGAAGTTCATTGTACAAATTTTTTAATTTTATCATTTGTTTAACACCCTTTCATTAGCTTCGTGTGCGTCTGTCTATGTAACGGAATCTTTTAATGTTATTTTAGACGGCCGATTGTATTGAAAATTTGCACTCGCATCAAGGACCGATGACAATATAATAATTAAATAACTTTATCCTAGTATCCTGGTCAGGATCAACAGGAATAAATAGAATAATTAGGTAGAAAAACCTTAACAACAGGCATCAATTAAGATAGGAGTAATCACGTAAAATAGCAGCTTAATACTGCTGTGTTTCGTATGGTGAGTGTATAGGTCCAGAGATTCTTTATTACTGGAAACGAGGCATTCCATCTTAGTCCTCAGGGGTGACAACGCATCTGCGTTTTGATTCTTAGTCG